AATTACAACTAAATCACAGAACAATCAACTGAATAACTAAGTGAAGTCTATGCTCAATCATAGGCTGAGAGTAGCTCATGGGGAATATGGCTTCACTGCAAATGCAGTGGTAGATTCAGAGCTTAGCAGCTGGGCCTCCCTTCAAGGAGAAGACCCACGAGGCATATTTTACAGATTTCACATTATTGTCAGGGCTGCATAATCATTCATTCATGGATGTGCCCTAATTTATTTGTCCAGTCCCTCTCTAGTGAACATTTCTGTTGTTTCCAGTCCTTTCCTATTGAAACAATGTAAATACCTTGAATTACATCATCTTGCACACGTGGGGAATATTACAATCTGGGCTCCTAGGGAAGCAGACCCTGAGATAGAGATTAACATGTAATCAGTTTGTTACAGAGTGTTAATACACTGAGATCAATACCTCTGGAGGGGAAAGGAAGAAAGCAGAATGGGGGAGATGGAAAAGTTGGCCTGCAATGCATTCTCAGAGATGGCGTCAGTGAACCCCACAAAGAGTTCTGATGATAGGATGACTCATCAGAGTTGTCCTGAAGTGGGGTGAGAGGGCTGGGCCTTTATATCCCTGAATTGATGATCAGCCATTGGATGTAGGTTGCTCTAGTACAGCGATTTTCAACCAGCGTGCCGCCGCACACTGGTGTTGCAGGAATTTTTAAAACATGCAATACCTGGCTATTTAGTCAGGGGCACTTACCGCTTTTCCCTTAAACTGTCAAATAAAAAATTGATAACCAGTCAACACAATAGTTGTCTGATATGAATGAATCAAAATTATACCTTTTTTTTTGGTCAGAATGGCCAAAAATATATTTTTTGGTGTGCCACAGAATTTTAGAAATTAGTTTATGTGTGTCACGAGATGAAAAAGGCTGAAAATCGCTGCTCTGGGGAAATGGCATGACTTAGGTGAGGTGGCTAAGGCAATTCCTGAAGGGGACTCCCAGCAGCTTGGAGGAATACATCCTTTAGTCCTGAAAGGGGATCTGGGAGGCACATCACAGTTTCCACCACAAGGAGTATAACTGTAGGATAAATGAACTTTGATAAATGCTGCTAAGATCAAAATCTAATATAGCCCTAGCTGATTTCGCTCGGTGGATAGCGCGTTGGCCTGTGGACTGAAGGGTCCCAAGTTTGATTCCAGTCAAGGGCATGTACCTTGGTTGTGGGCACATCCCCAGTAGGGGGTGTACAGGAGGCAGCTGATTGATGTTTCTAGCTCTCTATCCCACTCCCTTCCTCTCTGTAAAAAATCAATAAAATATAAAGAAAAATCTAATGTATAACATTGGTATGTATTTTTCAAATATTTACTTCCATAGGCAATGTAGGAGAGTATCTGTTTTCCCATATCCTTGATGACACAGGGTATGGTCCAATTTTGTTATTTTTTTTTAGTTAAGATTTTCATAATTGTACTTTATTTTTCACTAACACAATGGTCCACTTTCCATTTACTTTTTTTGTTTGTTTTTTTGTTAATCCTCACCCAAGGATATTTTTCCATTGGTTTTTTTTTTTTTTTTTGAGAGAGTGGAGGGAGAGGGAGAGATAGAGAGAGAAACATCAATGTGAGAGAGACACATTGATTGGTTGCTTTTCTGTGCCCTGACCAGGGCCGGGGATCGAGCCTGCAACCAAGGTATGAGCCCTTGAACAGAACTGACCCCTGAAAGCCTCAGTCGCAGGCCGATGCTCTACCCACTGAGCAAACTGGCTAGGACCACTTTCCATTTACTTTCAAGTACATATGCATTAAGATCTGGCTCTACAATTTATTAGCTGTTTCAATTTGTTCAAAGGTAAAACAGGAATAATATAGCAGACCTAATAGGGATATTTTGAGGATAAATGAATGCAAAACTCCTATTTTAAAATAGCAACCAACCAGCCCTAGCTGGTTTGGCTCAGTGGATAGAGCATCGGCCTATGGACTGAAGGGTTCTGGGTTCGATTCTAGTCAAGGGCACATGCCTGGGTTGTGGGCTCAATCCCCATTGGGGGGGAGGCACACAGGAGGCAGCCAATCAATGATTCTCTCATCATTGATGTTTCTCTTTCTCTCTCTCCCTCTCCCTTCCTCTATGAAATCAATAAAAATATATAAGAAAAAATAAAATAGCAACCAACCAAAAAATATTCTCCACACTCCACCATCATACACTGATGATTTCCATATCTGTACATTTAGGTCAGACTTCCTATTAGCAGGTAAAAATACTCATCTGCTTACTTGTTATCTCTATCTTTTTAAAAAAATATATATTTCTTTATTGATTTCAGAGAGGAATGGAGAGGGAGAGATAGAAACATCAATGATGAGAGAGAATCATTGATCGGCTGCCTCCTGCACGCCCCCCACTGGGGATTGAGCCCGCAACCTGGGCATGTGCCCTTGGCCAGAATTGA